CAGCACTCGAGGTGCGGCCTCACCAGTGCTGAGTACAGGGGCACGATCACCTCCCTGGTCCTGCTGGCCACGCTGTTCCTGATATAAGCCAGGATGCCATTGGCCCCCTTGGCCACCTGGGCACACTGCTGGCTCATGTTCAGGTGGCTGTCGGCCAACACCCCCAGGTCCTTTTCTGCCAGGCAGCTCTCCAGCCGCTCCTCCCCCAGCCTGTAGCATTGCATGGGGTTGTTGTGACCCAAGTGCAGGACCCGGCACTGAGCCTTGTTGAACCTCACACAGCTTTTCCTCTATTCCCGTAGGCGTGCTGAGTTTGGAGGAGTTCAAACAACTGAATATCCGTGATTTCCACAAGTACATGGGAAGCCAGAAAGTGAAGATGAGCGACTTGGTGCGCAACAGCCAGCACACCTGGCTGTACCAGGGCGAGGGGGCACACCAGGTCATGAGAGCCATACGGCAAAGGTAAGGGCTGGGCAGCCGAGGGGCGGTGGGGTTTGTGTCGGCACGAGGACCACCTGTGCTGGGAGAGGCAGTGGCAGACTTGCTAATATTCACACTTCCTAATTGTGTGAAAAGGCTTTGGAGTGTAAAGAGCAATGAACACAGACACGAAATGGGGAGAGGAGGTTTTCATTATAACAAGAATTTGTATTGTCCTGTGGAAAAGGAAAAAGAAAAATCAAAGCTTTCAGCATCTCCATTCACTTTTGGGAACAGCCCTATAAAACCAAGACGACTTGGCATTATATGAAATAATTCATTCTAATTAGTAAATGAGCTTACTGGGAGAAACTGCCCGTTTCCAATGCTGTCCGGGTGCCAGGAGTTACTGTCATTTGCTTTAGTTACTCATGCATTTCACTGAAATCTGTCTTAGCTGTTCAGAGCTGACTTTTTAACAAGCACACCTTCACCTCAAGTAAGCCGAGTTAGATTAATCCTCCAAGCACACATATCGCAGGGCAGCTCACAGCAGACAGGAGAAGCTCTTACCCTTCCCTTCATCTCAGATTTGCTACTGGGAAGCATTGAAACCCAGCACGCAGGCCAAATCGTTTAGCCGTGGTGAGTTTCAGATAATTGGCCAGAGACTCTCTTGTTCTTGTGGTGCTGGTCCTCACCCAGAACATGGGTGGGTAAAATCTGTCCCGAGGCTTGAAAACGCCTGTCGGCCACTCCTTTTCTTCAGCGCATTCCAGCAGGAGAATGGGGCCGCATATTGCCTTGATTAGAGCAGACTGTGGCTGCCACCTTCTCCGTGCCAGCTAGCCGACACACACACAGGCATCGGCATACTGCTTTTACGCTCTTCGGTTGGCCACTGTTAGGAGGACGTGAAGACATAGCGCTGGAGGAGGCTGTTACAGTCCTCCCTGGGACCGTGCGGTGCCTGGCGGGGCTTTGCCATCCTGCCTGGGTGCCGCCCCGAGGGCTTCACCGGTCCGAATTCTCAGAGCTCTGAGTGTTCTTTGGCAGGTCTCGAGAGGTACCTGCTTGCCTTGGGGATGATCTCAGATGTAGCAGTGGAAAAATCCCAGAGCAGGAGGGCTCCGGTCTTCTTGATCGCTTCCCCTGCCCCTCTGCCCTGGGGAGAGGCTGCTGAAAAGGCAACAGGGAAAGGTGAGTTAGGTGACAAGAATATTCCTAGAGCTAGTCTCTCCTTCACTCTCAGCAGGGGCCCTGTGCTTTGCTAACTGTCCCTGAGGTGGTGTGCAGGAGTCCAGAGAAGCCATGAGATGGCACGTGGCGGCTCCAGGGACACACACAGAAGGGATCTTGCTGAGCAAGCGAAGTCTTCCTGAGAGCAGTCCTGCTGGAGATGCACCCTGCGGTTTTGGGGTTTTTTTATTAACCTTGACGAGGACTTTCTGAGCTGATGCTGATGGTCCAACAGATCTGTAAGGACCTAGTTATCTCTTGGCATGCTTGCTGCAGCCCGTCCGTCTCTCCGGTCTGCTGGGGAAGGGGGTTATCTTTCTCTGGATATATTCGGTGCTTGGGAGTAGCATCCCACCGGGGTGATGGTGCTTTCCCCTCACCTGCTCTGTTCTCCTCTTCCCCAGGGTAATGCGCCTGACTCGCTTGCCCCCCGAGATTGTGGAGCACAGCGAGCCCCTCCAGGTTGTGCGGTACGACCAAGGAGGGCACTACCATGCCCACATGGACAGCGGCCCCGTCTTCCCCGAGACCGCCTGCAGCCACACCAAGCTGGTCGCCAATGAAAGCGCTCCCTTTGAGACCTCCTGCCGGTAAGGTCTGCCTTGGCCCAATCTGGAACGCGTTAGAGAAGAGGTGTGGAGAGCCATTGTCGCCTCGCCTCACGTGGGACTCGGTGCTCGGGTTGTGGGCTCGCAAACTGGCTCTGGAGATTGTCGGCATGAAGGGGTCTGAAGAGGGAGGTGGGTGAATCCTGCAAGTCCACGGGGCCGGTGCGAGGAGGAGGGCAGAGCGATTCTGCAGAGCGGCTGGGCCATCCCCACCAGAGGCTAGGAACGCACCCTCAGAGGCTAAATCCCCACCCATTGCATGTGGGAATTTTCTTTGTTGTCCTCGTCTTGGCCTTGGAGAAAAGCTGATGGTGTCAATCACGTATCTTGTGATGTCTTGGAGGAACCGCTGTACGTACAGTGGAGGGGCAGGGTGCGGACGGCCCCTGTGCGTCTCCTCCTGTTCCAGTTGTGTCCCCTGACAGCCACTCTGTCTTGCAGGTACGTGACAGTGCTGTTCTACCTGAACAACGTGACTGGGGGAGGTGAAACAGTGTTTCCTATAGCTGATAACAGGACGTACGAAGAGATGGTAAATGAATCGCGCCTACGTGTTACCCCTGGGGATTTTGAGTCCCTCTTTGAATGTCTTTATTCGCTGTGGCTGCAGAAGGGGTCTGGTGCTTGAGGTTGGTGGATGTCAGCCTTCGTAGCTAGAACATGGGGAAGCTGTGTCCCTCTGAGGCCAAGGGGAGAGGCGCGGGGCTTTGACAGCTCCAGCTCTCCCCGCTCAGAGGCGTGAGGGACGGTCTCTTGGCCTTGCTGCCATAACATGGGTCCTGCTCGCTTCTGTCTGGGCAGGTTTCTCAGACTAAGTCTTGGCAGGTATGTGGTGCTCCTGTCAGGCAACGTGTTAAGGAACGGGCGGCTGCTCGGAAACAGGTCATGGACCTCCAGGGGGGCTGAAACCGGCTGCTCTGGGTGGGTTGTGAAAGCCCTGCCCTGCCCAGCATCAGCCTTGAGCTGTCCCTGCGGGGCGTTCAGGCAAAGGGCAGGGTGACGGCTGGCAGCAGAGGCAGCCCAGTGCGCGCGCTTCGTTCCAGCCCCGTTTGCGACACCTTCTCTGTGGTTTCTTGCCAGTCTTTGATCCAGAACGACGTTGACCTGCGAGATACTCGGAAAAACTGCGACAAGGGCAATTTGCGAGTGAAACCTCAGCAAGGCACTGCTGTCTTCTGGTACAACTACCTGTCAGACGGAGAAGGTACGGTCCCGTTTCAAGACTCTGCTCTTGGGAGGGGTAGGGCTGCAGGAGGCGACAGCCATCGTCTTCTTGCGGCGGCTGGGAGCTCAGAAGAGAGCCAAAGGGTGGTAGCTGCCTGCTAGTGGGAACTGTAGAGTCTACTTGTCACCAGCTGGGTAGGAGCTTCCTGACCCTGAAAGGCCTTTGTTTACAGGCAGTAGGTCAGTGGCTCCTGATGTCTTTGGGGGACGGGACTAGCTAGCAAACAAAGACCTTGGCTGCACTAGCCATCGCCAGCTGCCTTCCATCCTGCTGTGCGAGCTAAAACTCCTGCTGGAACTTGGTCTGCAATTCAAAATGTTTCACTGATGTGGTGTTGCCCAAAGGGGTGGGGAGGGGAGGTAGACAAAGGCACGGCCATCAGCTCTGCAGCACAGGGAGGCATGGCCCGACTCCTGCTTTATAGCTCAGCCGCAGCCTGATGGTATGTGTCCTTGGGGCTGTTTTTCCTCACGAAGCGCAGCACGGTTTTCCCTGACAGCCAGGCTGGGGGATTGACATGAATCTCCCAGGCTGCTGCTGAGTATGACTCTGGAGTGTTTCGATGGCAGATTTCAAGCAGTGGTGGGAGGAGGAGTACAGCATCTCCGCTCCCCTGGGAGCGGCCCGTGTTTCCATCTCTAGAAAATCCACAGAGGAGGTCGTAAGCCCAGCGTTTGGTCTGTTGGATGATAATATCAGGACCATCACCCTCCTGTAAGAAGAGCCCTGTTGTATTTTTTATGAGCAAATTATTCCTAAATGGGAGGCGGCTGCTGATGCAAGTCTGCCACAGAAAAACCATGGGACCTCTGTAAAGAGAGGATCATTTAGAACTGCTGAAGTGCCATCTCTAATAGGGCCACGAGCCTCTGACTCCCACGGGCCTTCTAGCGGCAGCACCCGTCTCTTCCACGCCAGCCTCCCCTTTCGGGAAGGGCTGAGAAAAACGGCAGCCACGATGCAGAATGCAAGAGCCCCCTGTGCTGAGTGGAGACAGGGAGGCAACGAGCGTTTTGGGCAGGCTCCCCAAGCACTGGCGAGCTCCTCGTAGGCGCTAGGGTGGCGTAGCACTAAGACGGAGGGGTGCCAACTCCGGTGAGAGCTACCTGAGGTAAATCCAAGCAGGTGCTGTGGGCAGGAGGGCTGCTGCGGCGTTCGCCGGCCGTGCGGTCCCGGCTGCGCCTGCCCGCGCCGCAGCGCTCCTCGCCACCTCCTAAGCGGGGCTTTTCCTCCGCAGGGTGGGTGGGGGAGCTGGACGACTTCGCCCTGCACGGGGGGTGCCTGGTCACCCAAGGCACCAAGTGGATCGCCAACAACTGGATCAACGTGGACCCCAACCGCCGGCGGCAGCTGCGGTTCCAGCAGGAGATGGAGCGCTACGCGGGGGCCGAGGCCGGGGCCGGCGCCCCGGGGGAGTGGACAGTGGATAAAGCCTACAGCGGGGTGCACCTGGAGCTGTAGGGCCCGGCGGGAAGGGCTGCGCGCACGTGGCCTTTTCCCGCGGTGGGCGGAGGGGCGGGGCCGCGCCCGCGCCAATAAAGGGTGGAGCGAGAGAGACGGAGGGGGCGGCTCCGCGGGCTCTGAGGGGCGGGGCGGCGCGGCTCGGGC